TAACAGGATGATTTGGGTTGGAAGGGACCTTGAAGACCATCCAGTTCCAATTCCCCTGCCATGGGTGGGATACCTTCCACTATCCCAAGTTGTTCCAAGAGCAATCCCACATGGGAAAGAAGGGGTAGTGGATTTAAGCTGAAGGAAGGCAGGTTTAGAGCAGATATCAGGGAAAAATTCCTCCTTGTGAGGCTGGGGAGTCCCTGGCACAGGTTGCCCAGAGAAGCTGTGGCTGCCCCATCCCTGGAAGTGCCCAAGGCCAGGTTGGATGAGACTTGGAGCAACCTGGATAGTGGAAGGAACTGGAGCAAGATGATCTTGACAGTCCCTTCCAATCCAAAACATTCTATGATTCTACAATTCAAGCCAACAAGAAATGTCCATGTCTTCACCTCCTGTGAAGGAATAGTTGTGCTCACATGGTGGGACCTGGCAATGCCTGTTTTTGTACAACCAAGGCACAAGTTCTTGCCCAGGGCTGCTTTTCACACTGGTGTCCTGCAGAGGAGACCCCACAGACAGATCCACCCCACTGAGTCAAAACAAAGACTTAAGGCAGAGCCGTCAAAAAGTTCTTTAGTCATAAAAATCAAGGGAAAAAGAAGCCACCCTCTTCTAATGAACTCAGCTCCTTGGCAGCAGTGAGTAGTAAGTCCTATTTGTTATCCATCAATAAGATCCTTATATCCACAAAGGTGTTGCCTGCTGACACCCGCTGTGGACTAAAACCTTTGGAGAGAGAGTTTGATGGTGCCCCCATGCCCTGGAGAAATCTTGCAAAGCCCTCATGAACTTGCTCAGTGATGGCTCTAAACCATGTCCACACATAAATTTAAGGAATATAAAGGTATTAGGAAGTGTCCAAAGGAGGGCCATGGAGGTGGGGAAGGGTTTAGAGGGGAAGGCACAGGAGGAGTTGCTGAGGTCACTTGATTTGCTCAGCTGAGGAAGAGGAGAGTGAGGGGAGACCTCCCCAGGGCTCCAGCTTCCTTAGGAGGGGAAAAAGAGGGGCAGGCATTGATCCCTTCTCTCTGAAGAAGAGGGAATGACATGAAGCTGTGCCAGGGGAGGTTTGGGTTGGATATTAGGAGGAGGTTCTTCCTCCAGAGGGTGGTTGGGCACTGATCGGGCTCCCCGGGGTGGTGGGCACAGCCCCAAGGCTGCCAGAGCTCAAGGAGCGTTTGGAAAACACTCTCAGGGAGAGGGTGGGATTCTTGGCATTGTCCTGTGCAGGGCCAGGAGTTGGACTGGATGATCCTTGTGCTCCCCTTTAGCTCAGGATATTCTATGATTTCCTGTGCAGGTCACTTTGGATGTTCTTCCAGGTTTTCTGCTTCAGTGACAAATGATGGGAATGCCAACTGGAGCAGCCACAGGACTGAGATGATCAGTTCACCAGCCAGAGAAACCAAACGCACAGTTTAACACCCAGCTCTTCGTTATTGCAGATATTCCAGGGACATTTAGCTCTGAGTGGGGCCCTGTTGTGCTGAGCTCTGCACACACAAGGAATGAGGCACTTTGGGAGACATTCCTCAGACAAATGGAGCCATCTGTGACAGCCACCGCCAACTCCCTCTGCAATCAACAGGCACTTCCAGAGGGTAATTCCTCTCATCCTCAAGTAACCAGCTAAACAGAGATGAATCATGTTTTTAAAATGCCTGTTTCCCCCCCATTAAGGGGAATAGAGTCCTACAATACACTGCTTTACATGTATTAGGGCTGAATCACATATTCTTCTCCTTTCACAGGTGCTGAACTTTGGGGTGGCAGCATTTGTTGGACCACACAGTGAACAAGCGACAGATGACTGGTTTTCTCCCTCTTTCCAAGTAGTTAAACTCATCCAAGGCTGCCTTTCCTCTTCCCAAGAGATATTTTACATTCAGACAACTCAAAGCAGTCTGCAAACATGAAAAACTGATGCGCTGTTCCTCTCGGTGCAGACCCACAAGGAGATTTTAGCTCTGTCCACCCCTGAAGGAAGAAATTATCATTTCCTGGAGTCCATCCATCACTAAAAAAAGCAGACAGTGCAAGTGTGGGTGTCCCAAAACCTCAGATATCTAAAATCTGCAATATCTTGACATGGTGGTGGGTCAAACAATGCAGTTGGAGGCAGGATAATGCCCTGGAGATTAGGAATTCAGGTAAACTGTCCTTGAAAGCAAAGGCAGAGAAACAGCTCTGAGCATTGGCTTCCCTATGGGAAAATCAGGAATATCAGGCAAAATCCTGGACTTGGGCAGGATGGATGGGACAAAGAGTTGCAAAATACCTGCTGGAGCCTTAAGCAAGAGTTTGGTGTGGGCAGTAAGTGCTGTTAACACCTGGAAAGTCCCCTTGCCTTGCTGGGAGGGTTGAGACACCTTTTTCTTGCATTTAAGTGGCTCATTTTAATGAGGAGAAACCTTAATTGCTTGGGTTGTTCCTGCCTTTTCAGAGCTGCTTTGTAAATGGCCTTTTGGGCCACACAGGCACTTCACCATCTCCCCAGGCACTCAGAACAAACCCACAGCCCCAGCCTCATCCTAAAGAAAGGCTCCAAATCCTCCAGGTCCAATATCACTGCAACCCAGAGCTCAGTTACACAGCAAAGTGTCTGAAATGGTGCCAAGAAATGTCACCTAGGGACAAGTCTTTGTCCAAGGATCCAGTGGGATGATGTGACCCCACTGAATTATAGATGAAGAGCTTCCAAATTTTGCATGTCTTTGTTGGGTTGCATGACTTTATTGGCCTCATTAGCCTGGTTAATTTTGGATCCTTATCGGTCCAGAGGTTTCCTTGAAACTTCTCAGTGTAGAAGTTTAAAGAATAGAGAATTATCCAAAGGATCTCTAATTATATACATATAGAATTACCTCTTTATCACTTCTTAATAGAATTAGAGGTAATTTGCACTAGGACTGGAAAGAGAAGAACCTCCTCCACAAAAAGCTTCGGACTCACTGTCATAGAATCATGGAAAGATTTGGGTTGGAAGGAAGCTTCAAGATCACCTAATTCCAACCCCCTGCCATGGGCAGGGACACCTCCCACTAGCCCAGGTTGCTCCAAGCCCCATCCAACCTGGCCTTGGACACTTCCAGGGATGGGGCAACCACAGCTTCTCTGGGCAACCTGTGCCAGGGCCTCCCCACCCTCCCAGGAAACCATTCCTTCCTAATATCTCATCTAAATCCACTCTTCTTCAGCTTAAGGAACCTTTGTCCTATCAATCCTTCTCCAAAGTCCCTCTCCAGCTCTCCTGAAGCCCCTTTAGACACTGGAAGGGGCTCTAAGGTCTCCCTGAAGCCTTCTCTTCTGAAGGCTGAACATCCCCAGCTGCCCCAGCATATCTCCAGGACAGAGAAGTTCCAGCCCTTGGAGCATCTTCATAGAATCATAGAGTCAGCTGGGTTGGAAGGGACCTCCGAGATCAACAAGTCCAACCCTTGATCTACTAATGCTGTGGTTGCCAGCCCATGGCACTGATACCACATCCAGTCTCATCTTAAAAACCTCCAGGGATGGAGAATCCACCCCCTCCCTGGGCAGCCCATTCCAATGGCTGACCACCCTCTCTGGAAAGAAATTCTTTCTAATATCCAACCTAAACCTCCCCTGGCACAGCTGAAGACCGAGCCCTCTTGTCTTGCTGATTGTTGCCTGGGAAAAGAGACCAACCCCCACCTGGCTACAACCTCCTGTCAGGGAGTTGTAGAGAGTGAGGAGGTCTCCCCCGAGCCTCCTCCTCTCCAGGCTGAACAGCCCCAGCTCCCTCAGCCTGTCCTCATAGGACTTGTGCTCCAGTCCCTTCACCAGCCTTGTTGCTCTTCTCTGGACCTGCTCCAGGACCTCAATATCCCTCCTGAACTGAGGGGCCCAGAGCTGGACACATGTCCTGCTCTGGACTTGCTCCAACAGGTCCATCCCCTTGTCATGCTGGTGACCCCAGAGCTGGAGCCAATGCTCCCCGTGGGGTCTCACAAGACCAGAATGTAGGGAAAGAATCAACTCCTGCTCCTTTCTGCCCTTTTAAAAACTATATTTTCAACCTGGAAAGTCCAGAGGAAAGTCAGTGTAGGGTCCTCTCATCTGCCTCACAGCAGAACCTCTTTGCTAACCCACAATTGATTAACAATTGGCTTTCATCTTCCTGTCAGAGCCTGTGGAAGGTGCTTTGCTGTGCTCAGAGTCTGGAACTTACTGTTCCAGCGGGAAAAAAACCCCACAATCCCATCAAAGCTGTCATTCCCTTTGGCAGGAAATCCTATTACGGATGCACGAGGTGCGCTCTGAAGTCTCTCCCCATTTACTTCTCTATCTTCTGCCTGCTGTGGGTTTCTCCAGTGCTCATTCCTAATGAATCCTGCTGTTTCGTGGAAATGACCCGTTTTTGGAGGGCTGTGTCTGCTTGGATTACCTTTGGGAAGGTGCTAATGAGGGGTGGCAGGGCTATTACAGAGCAGAGCAGCTCTGGGGAAGAGCCACGTTCCAGCTGAGCACACCTGGGATGCCCAGAGCTGGCAGTGAGCACATAATCCAAAGAAAAAGCCAAGTTTGAGAAGTGTCAGTGCTTGGGGTGTGAAGCGTCCAGGAAAGCCTCCTTCACATCCCATTTATCATGGGAATGATCCAGCTTGGGATTGACATCCTGTTTGACTCACCTGCATTACCCCACCACAAACAGGATGCACGAACTGCCACCAAGTTGATGAGAGGGATGGAGGAGGAAAGGCTGGAGAATTGGGGTTGTTCAGCCTGGAGAAGAGAAGGCTTCGGGGTGACCTGGTTGTGGCCTTCCAGGGCCTGAAGGAGCTACAGGAAAGATGGAGAGGGACTATTTACAAGGAGTGACAGGACGAGGGGCAATGGTTTCCCAAAGCCAGAGGGTAGGTTTAGATGGGATACTGGGAAGGAATTCTTCCCTGGGAGGGTGGTGAGGCTGTGGATCATGTTTTCCAGAGAAGCTGTGGTTGCCCCATCCCTGGAAGTGTCCAAGGCCAGGTTGGATGGGGCTTGAAGCAACCTGGGCTAGTGGAAGGTGTCCCTGCCCATGGCAGGGGGTGGAACTATGATCTTTCAGGTCCCTTCCAACCCAAACCATTCCATGATTCCATGATTCTATGAAGGCCTCTCTAACTCCTCCTAAATACTTCCAATGACATTTAAATCCTACATGTAACCATTAGGTTTTCCCACTAACTTTTCATTCTAAGGCAGTGCTGGCAGGTGGAAAAATTGTCTGTAAATTAATGCTGGATAAGAGAATAAAACTGGATTAGAGGATAAAACTTGATGAGAGGAGATGGCCTCAAATTATGCCAGGAAAGGTTGAGGTTGGATATTAGGAAAAATTTCTTTCCTAAAAGGTTTGTCCAGCCCTGGCAGAGCTGCCCAGGGCAGTGGTGGAGTCCCCATCCCTGGAGGGATTTAAAAGCCCTGTAGATGTGGCACCTGGGGACATGGTTTAGTGGTGGCCTTGGCAGTGTTGGGCTAATGGTTGGACTTGATGATCTTAGAGGGCTTTTCCAACCTAAATGGTTCTGTGGTTCTGTGACTTAAATAAAACAGATCCCATGAGGAACAGAGGGAGCTGGAACAGCTCACTGGGGTGGGGGATTTTTCATTTGTTGCAAAAGTTGGATCCAAATCCAGGGCCTGGAAGCCAAGCTTAGATATAAACAGACTTCAAATAATGGAACAAACATGGATTATTGGGATAAATAACCATGGGAATTGATCCACATTTCTATCAGCCACCTCGTTCTGAAAAGGCCTGGAGTAACTCCAAAGATAATTATCCCAGAAACACCCTCTCTTGGGCAGAAACAGGAATTGTTGGGAGAATTTAATCACCTGCACCATGAAGTGGGTCAGGCAGAAGTTGGGAGAGGCTGTTTTGAGCTCAGCCAAGTCTTTTCCAGCTTTGCACTTTCCTGGGGTTGGATAAAACCAGTTCAGATTTGAAGCCCACAATCCATAAAGGTCTTTTGAAGGAACCACTTCAAACTGACCCTGCACTCAGGCAGGACCTCTGTTAGTGCAGATGAATCAAATCCACCTCTTAGTTCCTAAAATGAAAGTCAAATCCACCTTTCCTTCTGTTTTATCTTGAGGTTGGGGTGATTTTTGTTTGTTTGTTTGGAATTTTTTATGTTCCACCAGCAGTCTAATTCAGCTTTAAAGAGGATGAATTCCCCTTTATAGAATTTTACAGCTCAGATGAGCTTTGCTTGTAGATTTTCATAAACATCCTGTTCTAGTCAGTGGAGAAAAATTGGATTCAGTTGTGAAATTCCATTTAAAATACTAAAGTCATTGTGTTTTCTTGCATTCACCAGTCAAGAAGGTTATGGGTGGTAAGAATTTATTCCCTGGAATCATCACAGAACATTTTTTTCAAGGAAAACCATAGTTCAGGGACTCTTTTGTGCCAGCTGAGCTCATGTTCATTCCTCACTTTGAAGCAAAAAATATCATGTGAAGATCTAGTGACAATGACATATTATCACCTCGTGTAAACCCAAATCCAGTTTTATATTTTAAATTTTATATTTTTA